TTCTATAATTCCCCCCCCCCCCTGGGATGGGGGAAAAGAATCAAAGGGTCTTAGGGCTAGAGAAGAAAATCAAAGAAGAGTAGAAAAAATGGAAAGGCAGAGGGAAAAGAAGAGAAAAATTTCCGTGGGATTTTTAAGTTTAGATATAGGTAATGAGAACCATATCAATTGGGGTCCTAGTAATAAATTTATGCCACAATAGTCCCTAAATGTTAGATCAAAAATGTAGTGTGAAATATGATAGTGTGATGGCCTCGTGTTGTTCACACAATGTATGCTTGTGAAAAAATGTTGTATTTAATAAAACTGAGAATAAAAGACAAAAAAACTCACTTGTATATGTATAAATGTGAACCTAAGAAATATAAGTGTAGGTGTAGACTTGTGGAACATAAAATTGGAGATGCATGTGTGAAATTGTAACGGAAAATATCCTGTTCTGTGGCGTAAAAAACTTGATCAGACCCGAGTATGATCGCGCTGTACTAAAAAGCTTGTATGGAGGCATGTAAAATATATAAAGCGAGAGAAGGAGATAGTCATGCACGTGTAAAATTCAGTATCCCTGTACGCAGCGTTTCATCCTTCATGGACTCGTCAGCAGGGATTGGGGTTGGCAATTGTGTGAGAAAGACAGAATATAGAAGCCGATTTGGAATAAAGTGAAAAAACATAAAAATTAGCAACATGTGCATATAACTATTGTATAACGTAAAATGTAAATTGTCTTACCAAAATCGTTGTTGAGTTTGGTCAATAATTATTACTATTAGGTACAGGCCTTTGAGGCTGATGTAGTAAAGATATTAGGAAAATAATCAAATCTGAAAAGAAGGGGGGGGGGGGATCAAAGTTAATTGAAAAATATACACCCCTGCTTTATCAAACTGTTGAAGTTACCTTCAGAATTCAGTGTTTTCACACAATTCCAAACTTGAACTGATAGAATTACAGTCAGAATGATCAGGGGGTTGGCCAGGGTTAATTCTGTGTACAAAAGTTCGCAGATCTCCGACGTGGAGATGTACTAGTCTTGGCGTAATGGCATCCCGATTGCAAAGATGTAGGCGTGTTGGCGTATTTCTGTATTTATTTGAAAATATATGCCTATTAAAATATTAAATATGAATATCAATCATGAAAGTGGTTTGTACTTCCTAAAAATGGAATGTAGACATTCTTCCATTGTCAATGCTTAAAATAGTTATTGAAAAACAAAACAAGCATTCTTATCTATCTAGTATGCACATAATGCGCTAGCCAGCGTGGCCGGCTCTTCTATGGGGCTGAGAATTGAAGAAGAGCCTGCCTGGAAGCCCTAGTAAAATTGATCACCGCCTACTTAATTATTATTCCATATTAACACCGCCCACTTGAAATAGTTTTGTACAAATGATGACATAAAATGTCAATTGCTGCATATTTACTAGCCAGCGCTACATATGTTTACTGCAATATTATAAGTACAGTAGTACAGCCATACAGTTGCAAAGCAATAATATAATTTTGAACAGTCTCCATCTACTAATTTGAGTAATTTCCAGACAAAGTGGAAAGGCCTTAGGTTTCGCTAAAAATTCCGACCGACGTTTTGCTTGTATTTTCCAGGCAGTTGAATCGCTATCCATCTATTAAAAAGTTTATTGAAAGCAATATGTTTATACTATACTGTGGCAATGTAATAAATGACTTAGGAATAAAAGGTAAATAGACTTCTTTCCGTGTTATGCACGTTGGCAGGCAAATGTATTTTAATAATTTAAAAGCTCCAAAGAGAGCGTTGTATTATTATTATATGCATTGTAGAAACACAATGGGGAATCAGTGTGCAAAATGTATTAAACAAGGCAAGGACAGCCAAGGTTCTTGAAGTCATATGACATTTAACAAATATAAAACATTTTCCGTGTTGATATACAGTTATATCAACACAAGTGGAAATTGGGAAAACGAGAAATTGTGTGGAAACACGACGCCCGAAGGGCGGAGTGTTTTCACACAATTTCGAGTTTTCCCAACTTCCACGAGTGTTGATATAACTATATATCAATACGGAAAAAATGTTTTATATTTTTTTTATAATATAGCAATGTCAAAAGCCCGAAGAATAAGAAAAATTTCCGTGTTACAAGCGGCGGAAAATTTCCCGTGTTGACATGGAGTTATATCAACACGGCTCTTAGCCAATCAGCGCTCAGAATTTACAAATGCTATATTATAAATAGCTATGCAGTATGGCTTGCCTTATTCTGTTTAGATAGCTGTATATGTTATACATTTTACACTTTGTCTTTTGAATTTTTATATTTTAGCCAACAGGTTTACACTTTTATTACTGTACAATATATTAATGTGTACGATGCCGTTTGTTTTTACTGCATTTATTTTTAAATTTTTGAATAAATTAGCTTACATTGCCAATCAACCGGTTATCAACGTAAATTCAGCCAATTTTACTAGGGCTTCCGGGCAGGCTCTTCTTCAATTCTCAACCCTAGAAGAGCCGGCCACGCTGGCTAATAATGTGCTTGTTTTCGATTGTCGACTAAATATGTGTGTCAGCCATATTGGATAATTGGCAAGCTTTTTTTTCGTTACTTCAAATTTGTTGGTGTAAAAAAATAATATATTTTGAAACCTTCGGCGTGGCGATTGCATGGAATGCACCCTGGGGGGTTGGGGCACTTGACCATCAATTTTCCGTTATATGTGGGGCATTTGAACAGAATTTTTGTCCTGGCAGTGGGAAATTTGATCACAAAATTTCAAAAAGTTCAAATGCCCAGAGGTATGCCCGGGGGAGGGGGGATGCTAACAGTATAATTGATTGGACGCATAAGCCATTCAAAAATTTAGCATGTGGTGGCATATAATTTGGCAGGCAAACGTTGCGTATTTTGGGCGCAAAATTACCCGTCTATACAATCGCCCAGCTAATCATCAGTATATAATAAACAAGTCGCTGTAAAGGTATTTCTTTTACGTCTTGAAGGCTACAGTCTGATAGCAGAAAACTCGCGAATAAAAATATTTGTTTACGAAGCTAGCCTTTCTATATATTTACTATTAAATTTTCGAAATCTCCGGCGCGCAATTTCCAAACTTTCCAGTCTGGGAGCTGTGACGCATAGCTGACATACCTTTGATATGCTTGATCAATAATCTCTCGAGATCTTAAAGCCCAGTGTTTCATACTAGTCTCTTGCCCTTTCCTCGCTTTAACCAGCATTGGGAAATCATCTTTCGGGCCTGACAGATACTTTGGAAAGCCAGGTGAGTTTGAACTGACCAAATGTTTTCGTCCAGCCAAGGGTACTGCGGTCTGAAGCTCAATTTCATTCAGAATTCCGCGACTAAAATATTCACCCATATGCAAAAATCTTGAAGATATACGCTTGAATATGATACTCGAAGCGACTGTGCTCATATTTTGCATACTGACTAGCCGTGCTGCCATCGGCAATGCCTATTTATAAAACTTCCAATGCCAATGTATATAAAAAACTTCCAATGCCAAATACGGGTATGTATAAATACGAATATACGACGAATAAACAGCTGGGCATTCTGTTGTCGCTGTCTAAATATTGCGGGCGCATTTCTTTAACAAATATTTTGATTCTTCGAACGCTGAAAATATGCATTGTGAGAGGATTTTTTGTCCTCTTTTACTGGTTTGTTCATGGAAAATAAAGTGTTTCTTGAAAGATTAAGTTGTACGCAACGATATAACGACTTAATCGCATGAAAACGTGCGAAGAATTTTTATTTACAAATGGGCGACAAGTGGAAATGTTTCACTCATTGTCAGAGTTTCAGAAGCAGGGTACAGCAGTATGGAAACAAGGAAGTGTTCATATTTTACTCTTGATAGAAGCTGAGTTGTTGTTGTTTCCACAGGTATGTTCAATAATTTGTTTGTCCTTCCTCATCTGGAATAATAAGTGTCTTAAAATACATATTTTGATGAAAATGACACATATTCCTCTTGCAATTTCGTAAAAACTGGCCGTTGCCTTTAGTTAGAAAATATATTTTATGAAAGTTAAAGGTGATCTACAGTCCGATCTGCGCATGTGCACAAATGAGCCCACTTTTTATGATACAAACAGTTTAACTATGTTTTGAGTTCTTGAAAAGCCTGATTGTTGTTTCTTGATCATTTATTATACTCTAGAAGCTTGAAAATATAAATAGTTGTCGAATAAAGCTCAATATTTTGGACACAAAAATGTAAACAAAGGCTTTGTTTACATACGGACTGTAGATCACCTTTAAATCATACTTTGTTTTATTAAAACCTGAGCTATTCATGGGGAAAATGTGCTAGATGTTGTAGGTTTTCACTTGTTTCCATCTACCAAACTGACATTACGTCATTTGATCAATTTCTAAAGTTGTTTCTTTTTGGATTTTTTAATTAATTTGGTTAGGGTTAGAGTTCGGGTTGCGGTTAGGGTTAGGGGTTAGAGTAGGGGTAGGGTTTGGGCTAGTTACATAGCCATTTAACACCTCTTCAATCTTCTGAAAATGACGTCATGTCAGTTTCATGTCAGTTTGGTGGTTGGAAACAAGTGCTGACCGATGTTGTAATAGGCCCTTTCAAGGAACAGGTGGGCAATTTGTCTGAGCATGCGCAAAGAAAATCAAAATGGCGACATATATTTAGGAGTGCTTCGTGGGTTTATCTCGTTTTAAAGCTGATAAAACAACATTTTAATGAACAAAAACTTTGTAATATTTAATGGAAAACATTAAGCTGTACAGTCCAAAGATTTGAAATTAAAAATAAGTACTTTTGCTTTATTTTATTGCTTTTTATGCTTTGAAAACAGGCAAGCTCATTTTTTTGAAAAATTCTAATCTAATATTTTACCCATCAGTTGTCTAATCTGAACAGAAATAGATAGAACACTTGGCTATATAAGTTATAAAAGTACTGTTAGCTGATCTGAAAGATTTCAGTATTCCTAGTACACATTTTACCAAAGAATGAAATGTAATTTTAAAAATTAAATATGCATATAAAAAACAATAGTTTTTATTTGAACAACATAGAATAAGTTATTATTTTCTATTTTTACAAAAACAAGTTTGGAAACAGGATCTAGTCCTCCAGCTTGATGTCATATTCCATTTATTTGGATATTTGAATAAAGGAATGTGAAATAATAATTGAAACTTGATCAAAATTTGATACCAACACGGGTCAGTACCTAGCTATATGATTGAGGCTTGTGATTGGCTGTAGTGGTTTAAGTTAATTAAATTGATTTGTTGCAGAACTTTGCATTATATATTCGTATTACCATAGTCACTCTATGTATGCGTAGTATTAGGTTATATAGCCTAGGTAGTCAAGGTAATTAACTAGTAGTCAAAGTGGTCAAGGTAATCTAGGCGGTGGAGGTAATCTAGGTAGTGGAGGTAATCTAGGTAGTGGAGGTAATCTAGGTAGTGGAGGTAATCTAGGTAGTGGAGGTAATCTAGGTAGTGGAGGTAA